GACCTTCTATCCGCCCTGCAAACAATTAGAATGACAGCCTCGAAGACCTCGGAACGATTGAAACGTACATATTGCATGCAAAAACTCTTTATTGATACCTAATTCAAGGCGGTGCTAAGATGATTGATGCAGGTCTGATAAGCTTCAGGTCACAGGACTCGTGGTAATTTCGTGTTCCACTTTACGCGAACTTCGGTGTTGTCCTTATCAGCGCGTTTCCTGGATAAAGACTGGATTGTCTGGGCCTGGTGAGAGGGAGGAGAGACAGAAGAACTTTGATGAAAGGAGTTTACTTGGACTCGCCAAGAGTCGTATACGAGGGGGTAGTGACAGGTCTGTGAATCACAGGCCGTGTTCCTGTCGAGCTGTGAAAGAATTTTCCAAATCTTCCCAAAGTTCCAACACTGCCTCCCTTTTCCGACCGAAGGTCCATACCAGCAGTGCCGATATTTGCCACCAACATTCTTATCAATTTTTGAGCAGGTATCAGGGGCACACTTTGGTCTGTCACTCATCCCAGATCGTGCGTTTGACAGGGAAATCAGGACCATTTGGTAGATACTCGAAATCCTGTCATCATGGGGAGAAGGGCCTCCACAGCAAAAGGAACAATGCCATCTGGTGGTAAGTGCTGTCAATTTCATGCCAAATCTCCTCCCAAACATGCTACTCATCTTTGAATTCGAAGATTGAAAGCTTTCTACCACAATTTCGTCCAGCACAGTTCATTTATAAGGCTAATGTTGGTTCCAGTGCCTCAAGACAAGCAATCATCGTTACCGAGACGCACCTCCCTGCGATTAGCACAGTCAAACCCCAGATCCACCACCGACCGTCCGAGTGACCACGGGACTAATCAGAAAAATGAAGAGCGTCATTTGGTGTCGATTGAGCAGAGCTGTGTCTCTACTTCAGTCGAAGTTGCTATACCCTTGAAGAAGCAGTCACCTCCGTGCGCTTCTTCTTCATCTCCCTCTTCCTCGGAAGACACATTTGGGGAAGGAAGAAACGACTATGATACTCCTGCAACTAGCGTTGTTATGACTCCTGCCGAGTCGGATGTGAATAAGCCCAGGAGGAGAGTTAATGCTTCTACACGAGCTCGGGAACTACGCTCAAGAACAATGCCCCTCAGCAGCATGCAAAGAGGACTTAAGCGGAACGCCGCAGCACTCTCCCCGGATGACTCTACTCTGGGTACCTCAGACGAGGCTTTGGCTGAGGCTCTGCAAATGCAAGAATATCAGGAATCCTTTTCCAAGCGTCGGAAGGTTGCCGCGAGCGCCAGTCGTGACACCTCGGAGATCGAAGATTCTACCAAGGATGATGACCTCCTGGAGCATCTCGATTCTGACGGCTTCGAGGATGCAGAGGATGAAGAGGACCTTGAGCCTTGGCAGCCAAAGCGCAGTATTAGGACTTCACGGCGGTTGACAACGCAGCAAACCGTTCCGGACAGCGAAGCTTCTGACTTAAGTGATGATGAAGCAGGGGATGGCAACTATCAAACTGATTCGGAAGCAGACGGTCCTCCATCATCTAGTAGCGAGGAGGAGCCGTTGATTGCCGAAAGGGCGAGAAACTCCGGCACAGCAAATGCCAGTTCAGGCTCGCGAGCGCGGAGGCAAGCGTTAAGGGCCCCTGCAAACCAACGACGCACTCTTATTCCACCTTGGATGAGTCAACGAGTAAGTATGCTCGCTTCGTTCAACGTTATATTGCTCTAACACAGCATCTAGGCTTACAGGGAGCGACGCAAACTTGAAAAGCAACATCCTCTCATCACAAAAATGTGGGACGACTTGAAGAACACGCCCCCTATTACACCGGTACCAGCAGAACAGCCTCCGGGCATTTCGCGAACGCTGAAGTCGTACCAGCTCGAGGGCTTGAACTGGATGTTACAGCAAGAGAAAAGCCAATATAAAGGTGGTTTGCTGGGTGACGAGATGGGCATGGGAAAGACTATCCAGGCGGTCTCCCTTCTCATGTCTGATTATCCCGTCGGCAAACCATCGCTTGTTGTGGTGCCACCGGTTGCTTTGATGCAATGGCAGTCTGAAATCAAAGTACGTCTGTTCTGCGTGTTTTAATTATTGTTACGGCACTAATCTTTATGACCTCAGGAATACACGAATGGCCAGTTGAAGGTTCTTGTGTACCACAATTCCAATGCCAAGGTCAAACACTTAACAAAGCAAGACCTTGAATCTTATGATGTGATTATGATTTCTTGTGGGTTATATCTTTTGCAAGTGTGAAAATTCGGTCTAATGTCGGATGTAGATTCCGGCCTCGAATCCATTCATCGGAAGGAATGGAAAGGATGGAACCGCAACGACGGGATCGTGAAAGAAGATAGTGAGTCTATCGACACAATGGTACAGCAAAGGAAGGCCCACTGACAATGAGAAGGTATCATTCATGCCATTGACTACCACCGCCTTATTCTCGATGAAGCGCATAGCATCAAGGTATATCAAAGAGACCCTTGGACTTTACAATTTGATATTCGCTAATGCTTCTCAGCAACGGACTACCAGTGTTGCACGTGCATGTTTTGCCCTTAAAGCCTCTTATAAATGGTGTCTTTCCGGCACTCCTGTTCAGAATCGGATCGGCGAATTCTTCTCTCTTCTTCGCTTCCTCGAAGTACGCCCATTTGCGTGCTACTTCTGCAAGCAGTGCAAATGTCAGCAACTTCATTGGTCCCAGGACGCGGATAAACGTTGTAGCAATTGCAAGCACAGTGGGTTCAGCCATGTATCAGTCTTCAATCAGGAGATCCTTAATCCCATTACCGAACGAGACAATCCAGAAGCCCGCAAGGAGGCCTTGGCCAAACTTCGCCTGATCACTGACAGGATCATGCTGCGACGAATCAAGCGCGATCACACCGCTTCAATGGAGCTCCCTCCGAAACGCGTCGTTTTGCATAACGAGTTTTTCGGAGAAATCGAACGTGACTTTTCCAGGAGTATCATGACGAATTCTACAAGACAGTTCGATACATACGTTAGCCGAGGTGTGATGTTGAACAACTACGCCAACATCTTCGGTCTGATCATGCAGATGCGGCAGGTTGCGAATCATCCAGACCTGATCCTGAAGAAGCATGCTGCCGGTGGACAGAACGTCCTTGTATGCAGTATCTGTGATGAGCCTGCGGAAGAGGCTATTCGGTCTCGTTGTCATCATGAGTTTTGCCGTCGTTGTGCCAAAGATTACATCCAGTCTTTCGAAGCAGACAGCGTCGTTGATTGTCCTCGTTGTCACATCCCCCTCTCCATGGATTTCGAGCAGCCAGATATTGAGCAGGAGGCGGAGCACATCAAGAAGAACTCCATCATCAATCGCATCCGAATGGAGGACTGGACATCGTCGACGAAGATCGAAATGCTTGTTTACGAGCTGTACAAATTGAGAAGCCAGAAGCAGACTCACAAGTCCATCGTTTTCTCGCAATTTACCTCGATGCTTCAGCTTGTTGAATGGCGTCTTCGTCGGGCTGGTTTCAACACCGTCATGCTGGATGGGACGATGACGCCTGCACAGCGTCAGAAATCAATTGATTATTTCATGAATAACGTTGATGTAGAGGTTTTCCTTGTGTCTTTGAAAGCAGGGGGTGTCGCCTTGAACTTGACCGAAGCCTCAAGAGTTTTCATCGTCGATCCGTAAGTATCGCTCGAGCATCTTGCTACATACCTGGACAAAGTCGTGTACTAACGGGAATCCATCAGGTGGTGGAATCCAGCTGCCGAATGGCAAAGCGCAGACCGATGCCATCGTATTGGTCAACGACGGCCCTGTGTCATCACCCGACTCTGCATTGAGGATTCGGTAGAATCGCGAATTGTTCTGCTGCAAGAGAAGAAGGCAAATCTCATCAACGGCACGCTGAACAAAGATCAAGGGGAGGCGCTGGAAAAGCTCACCCCAGAAGATATGCAGTTCTTGTTCCGCGGATCGTGATTTGTCCTTTTTCTTGGGATTATTGCTATGCTCGACGCATTGCGGTTTCCACTCGAGGAAAGCGAATCTGTTCTTATGTTCCTACTGTACTAGGCTGTCCTTGCTCTGCTGAACGTCTACTGAGCTGGTCTCAGTTGATGCTGAAGCTCGACTGTCGCCCGAATTGAGAATAATTAAGGATTTTTTTAACTGATGGTATCCTATTATTCAATTACTTAGAGATGTCATAACGAGTATAACTCTCTCATCTACTGGTTTTACTACCGCACCTAAACCCTTCATCCTTTTCTTTTTTTTTTTTTTTTTTTTTTTTTTTTTTTTCGGTTTTTCATACTCTTCGGTCTGTTGCTGTGTGTTGACAATAATGGATGGATAGTCAGTGCGAAAATCATCATTTCGAGTACAGACCACTCGCAGGGAGATAATAACTCCTCTGTGTGGAGGTGCGTATTATTTGTTTGTTAATGACGAGAAGAGAAGACTTCAAGAATCTCCGAAAATGACAGAAGCTTGGCTTTGCTTAAACCATCCGAGAAGATCCGAGAACCTCCGCTGTTCAGGAGTCAGAAATGGTCAGAACTACTTACAGAGTACGTAGGAGAACTTAGGACAAAAAGGAGGGGCGCAATGATGCAGGTTTGCAGTGCCCTTGGAACCAACTTCCTGCCGCCGGCTGAGGGGAAAAGGGAAAAGTTACCAAGGGAAGTCATCATCCATCATGAACTGACAATTTTCTTTGGAGGTAGGTTTGGTTGTATGTGAAGTGACTTGAAAATAATTGATAAAGCCAACCTGTGCTTCCTCTCACTTTTTCTTTTCTCTCTTTCCTCTCCTCATTACTTGCTTCCTGACTTCTCTTCTCTCCACTCAGCCCTACGAACGGACAAGAGCAAGACAAGATTTCGTCCCCACATCGTCCCGCATGTTCACAGCTGACTCGACGAAGTGCTGCAGGCAGCAACTATAATAAAATAGTGTAAAACAGAGCAGAGTACTCTTCATAACTTTTCCAGCTCGCCGGGATCATGGACGATGAAACAGAGCCGCCACAAGCACGTCCACGACATGCGCTGGACAAGTATGGCCCGAAATTTGTCGATAAAACGGAAAAACTCCATGATCGAGCCGTCGCAATGAAGGTCGCAACCAATGGCGAGCACGAGCCCGCGGGGGGTTTCGACAGTACTCCAATTCCTCATGCGCCCCCTGGTTACAGCCTGAAGTTCACTTTTCATCGCGGAATCAACCTTCCATGTGCGGACTTCGGCACGTTCTCGTCTGATCCTTACGTGAGAGCTCAGCTGGTTGTCGACCTACCTCAGCGGCATAAACAGGATCCCATTGTAACCTTTAGGACGCCAACAGTACGCAAGAACAGAGACCCAGTATGGGACAGCGAGTGGATTGTTGCGAATGTTCCTGCATCCGGTTTCGAGCTCAAGTGCCATGTCTACGATGAGGACGCTGCCGACCATGATGATAAGTTGGGTATCGCATACGTCGAGGTCGGCCGTATCGATGACAACTGGTCTGGTTTTAAGGAGCAATCATTTCGGGTCAAGAAACGACTCGGCAGCAAGCGGGTCTACCTGTTTGGCAATATCGCCGCCTTCGCCTCGCGACGTCTCAACCTTGGCTCACATCTTGTCATCAGTGTGGAGTGTTTGGGTAAGACCCCAGGTGAGGAGGGTGGACAGATGTACACCGTCGGGCCCAACTACTGGTTTAAACACTTTTCCCCCCTGATCGGGCGCCTGACAGGGACGAAAGACGAAGTGCAGAGCTCGGATGGCAAGAAGGCAGTCAGCCGTTACAAGTACGTTTCTCGGACCCGGCTGCCCTTGACGCAGATTGCTTATTTGATTTTTTTTTTTCTTTCTTAAGTTTCCAAGCCATTCAGATACAGCTAAAGGGTCCGGTACCTGCTGAACTATATCATCGCTATGTTGAATTCAAACCCTTTGTAGCGGGTATGTTCACATCGCACAGTCTCAGAGGCCGTATCCTCAATCGCGCTCTCCATCATCAGCATGAGAGAATCTACAACTTTGATCGGACAACTCTTTATGGTAAATTCGAAGCGCCGTGTGTCGAGCTCACTCAAAAATTCCTTGATTTTGTCCACCATGCTCAGGGCGGCCGCATATTCACTTATGTCCTCACCCTCGACGGACAGTTCCGATTTACCGAGACGGGCAAGGAATTTGGAATTGACTTGCTAAGCAAACACACCATGCACAGCAATGTCTCCATTTACATCGCGTATTCGGGAGAGTTCTTCGTTCGTCGACTGAAACACCGCCATCGTCATCATTCTTCCTGTGCAGAACCATCAGCGACTGAGATTCCAACCCAAGGGCCCCAGGCCGAGGCTACCACAGGGGTATCAACAGACCCTGGCGATTATGAGCTTTTCATCGACAATGACAGCGGTACTTATCGTCCCAATAGCAAATATCTTCCACTGCTCAAGGATTTCCTCTCTAGGACCTTTGTTGGCCTACATATTACCACATTGGACTGCCAGGAAGATGCTGAGCGAATGACGGAGCTGAAAACTGAACAAAGAGAATTCAAGAAGAAAGAGACGGGCCAAATGACATTCCTTCAACAACGCAGCAGTTCATCGCTATCGATCTCAAGTTCAGATGAAGAGGAGCTCGTGGAACGCAGCGGCGCGTCGTCCAAGAAACGAGGAGACTTTGCCCAGAAAGTGCACGACATGCGCGACGTCAAAGGCCAGGTCATGAAATGGGTGGAAGGGGATGCACACAAGAACATTGCAGGAAACCACAACGGCCATAACAGCTCATCACATCAGCCATCTGAGGCCCGACAATGAGCTGGTGTGGTAAACTCTGGCACCGTCCATGGCCAGTAACCAAGAATCACCTGTTTCTATTTATGCCTGCTTTTTTTCTTTTTTTTCTTTTTTTTTATTTCAAATGGGATGAGAGCACGGGGTTGTCCTTAAATATCCTTAGGCCTCTATGTTTGAGCGGTATGCATTTGTGATCCCCTGGTGGTTATTATTGTTGTTGCTATTTTTTATGTGATGCACTCAAGCAGCCTCATTCTTGTTATCACTGAACCTGGTTGTGGACACGCTCATACAGTCCTCTTTGCGGCGTCTGCCAGAATTAGCCTGTTTTCTTTCTCAGATACCCCTCCGACATTGGAGAATGGATAGATAAGTAATATTAATGATGTTCTGTTGATGCTCTGATTAGCAGAAGCTCTTTTTTTCTCCGTGTCTCTCTCCGAGGTGATTACGGAGTACTCTGTCCTCTGAAAGGCTCTCCGGATCTGCACGAGAAGGATCAGCCGGATCCTGTTGGAGTCGGTTTCAGAGTGTCATTCTGAAATATCTGAAGGCAAAGTCTGGATATTGCTCTTGTGATCCTTTCTGTATGTAAATAATCTCACTGTCTCGTCATGCTCCCATGTTCAACAAGAAGAGGTTGAGGATCACGCGTGGGGGATCTAAAAGCTCTTCTGCAGGCGCAGCCTCCAATGTGATCCCCAATCTGTGCTGAATGGCATTTGTGTTATCTGTGTCTGTTGAGGTAGTGATGACATTTTCTTGGGAGAAATAAAATGTCAAGTTTAAATCACCAACTGGTCACCTCTGTTCTCAAGAGTAACCTGTAGATAGAACTGGTCTGTGTGCTAGGCGGGGGGATTGGCACATATTATTGTTCCTGTGCTTTAATGAACATATCATTATCGCATCCTTCCCACGTTCTTCTTCCCCTCCTCCGCGCGCCAAACCTCCGACTCAACCTCCACAATTACCCACACTGCTACTCTCGCCAGGCACTGATATCGGAGCCTCTTTTCTTGTTCATCACCTTCTTCTTCTCATATAATCTGCATTTTTATTATTCACGTTCTCATCTAGTCCCCCGAATCGACTCGTTATCCCCTGCGAACCAAGCGCAGCAGGATCTCAGAAACCGGGTATCGCGCCCTCCTTTGTCGGGCTGACCATCACCACCTTTGCTTCCACACGACGGCTCGTGTTCTCCGATCGCAAACCTACCTCTCACAAGCTCTTCCATCATACAGCAGTTTATACTTGTGTGGTTCCAGGCTCAGAAGATCCCTGGAGACGTTTGGGTAGAGTTTCAGACTAGATGACGGCTTCTCCATTCGGTTGCCTGGTGTTTATCATTGCTTCAGCTCTAAACTGATGCCAATCCGACCGTCGATGGTGACCTTCAGCTGGCCCAGTCATCCTTTCGGACCGTCTCTTTTTCGAGTGGTGACGTGAATCATTCGTCTTCATTATGGGCAATGTTGGAAGTCGTCTCGATGACTCTGGGAACTTGTTCTTCAAAGACCAAACAAGGTGTAAGTGTCCCTCCCGAGGCTGCGACGCTACCACTTCCCTCCGGGTTTTTTTCTCTCATTAACATAGCCGATGATCGGTAACTCTCTGTTGATCTTTTGCTAATCGCTTCGAATGAGCAATAGTTACAATCTCTTCCGCCACGATAAGCAACTCTCGAGGACGGGTATTCTTGCATCTTACCCCCAACTCTTTCCCGGCCACGAGATATACTGCGAAGCGTGAAGTTGGTGACGACAGTCCTATTGAGTATATACAGGTAAGGTGCCGGAGCGATAATGACTTGAGTCGCACCCTCTATTCACCCCTTGTTCTTTTCAACTGACGAACTCGGTTGCTATCTCTCTACAGGATCCGGACCTCTCCTCATCTGCATCAGCGCCCACATTCCTTTTGCGCCTGACGAATGAAGATGAATTGAACTTCAATTTCACGTTTATACTGAGGCAAACTCAAACCGCTAACAGTTCGAATTCCGTCGTCAATGGTGTCGCAACCTCACTTCCAGAAGTGACCGACACTGTGCTTACCGGGCTCACATTCGCGCATGCGACGAACTCGAAGGAGCTCGACAATTTGATAACGCGAGAATTTCATGCGAATCCCAACCTGCAAAATAATACCAATGTGCAGTTTGTAGGGGATTATACAACGGGTGGAAGCCCTTCCGTTCAGTTCAATTGGTCCTGGAAATGGAAACCACCCAAGCCCACAGAAGATAAGGGCGGTGGTTGGAGGAACAGCTGTAGCTTCTTGGACTATGACCAGCGAGCTAATCGTCTCAACACTCTCGCGCACTTCTCGTTCTGGGTGCACAACTGCCCGCGTTCGCTCCCCAGCCCGCAAACCTTGTCACCAAACCTGGAAATCCCTCACCCGATTCGGAATCGTATGCCTTCTTCGCACTCAATTCTCTCGCATTCCAGTGATGCCGATACCACATCCAATCTGCATCTTCCTCCGGGTACTCCGCCTGAAACGATCGATAGTGTTCTGCCTCCCCCTCCTCCCCAAGCTCCGCCCCCGCCGCCGCCTGTGAAAGTTGACCTTCCCCATTCGCGTCCTGGCGAAGATATGAGTGTAGTGGAGGATGGCCCATTGTTCCGAGCCACTATGAAAGCGTTGGAGCAGAAGACAGGGAATATGCGTGCGAAAATCAAGAAGGTGCTGAAGAAGGCGGAGGCTGCCCAACAAGCCCAAGGGGCCTGCAACGATGCTGTGGAAGCCTTCCTATCCGCTCTCAGTGAGGCCTCAACGACTAATTCCAACGCAATCCAGCCAGCTCTCGATCACTACTTTGAGAAAATTGCTCGGCAGATCCTAAATTATGAGCGACTCAATACCATCCAACTGCAAAAGCTCGTCATTGAACCTTTGGTGAAGCTTTATAATAATGACATCAAGCAGGCCGAGGCTAAGAAAAAGGAGTTCGAAGAAGAGAGTAGAGATTATTATGCCTACGTGAGTCGCTACCTCGGACAGAGGCAGGATTCCTTGAAAGAGAAAAAGCGAGCGGAGAGCGATTCCAAGTACCAAGCCAAGAGGCGGAACTTTGAGTTAAAGCGGTTCGATTATTCTTCGTTCATGCAAGATCTTCATGGTGGCCGTAAGGAACAGGAAGTCCTTTCGCACCTGACCAGGTACGCGGATGAACAAGCTAAGAGCTTTCTTGCGGCGGCCAAGAAGGTGGATGACATGATTCCTCAGCTGGATGCTTTGATTCACGAGGTCAATCAGGCAGACAAGGAATTCCAATTTCAGAGGACAGAAAGAGAAGAGAAACGAAGGGCTCTGGAAAAAAGCAGTAACTTATATCTGGAGCCGGATTCCCTCGCCAACCCAAGTGTTCCGTCATCCCTGACGGGCAATGGTAGTGGTGGCCACATGCCTGAATCGGACTTGGGCCGTGCAGACAGCACAGGGTCTCAGCTGCGAAGTGTGGTGAGCAACAGTTCCTCCATGGCCCCGCAGACAAATGCAGCTATAAACAGCACGGCCGGAATCCCGCCGATATCCTCAAATGCCAATCCGAGCGGCCAGCAGCGGAAGGAGGGACTTCTCTGGGCATTATCACGTCCGGGCTCTCACATCGATCCCAAGGGCATCAACAAGCAAGCTTGGCATAAGTTCTGGATTGTGTTAGATCAAGGCAAACTCTCAGAGTACAGTAACTGGAAACAGAAGCTTGATCTGCATATGGACCCGATTGACCTACGGATGGCCTCTGTGCGAGAAGCACGGAACGCCGAACGACGCTTCTGTTTCGAAGTCATTACCCCTCAGTTCAAGCGGATTTATCAGGCGACTTCCGAAGAGGACATGGGCAACTGGATCAGGGCCATCAACAACGCCCTGCAAAGTGCTGTCGAGGGTCGTGGCATGTCTCCCCCCGTTCCGTCAAAGAACGACAGCTCGTCCCTGGGTCGCGATATTGGTTCTGTCTTGACAGGGAAAAGCTCGTCGTATTCCGGCCAGCATTCTCATTCTGCAAGTTCTGTCAGCAGCGTGAGCCGTCGCACCACGGTGGGTGCACGACCAAGCTACGTGCGCAACGATAGCACCGGCTATGAAGAGAACCCCGCCAAATTACTCCAGACCGTCCGCGATGCGGACCAAGGCAATAATTGGTGCGCTGATTGCGGCTCGACCTCGAAGGTTGAGTGGGTGTCGATTAACCTTGGAATAGTCTTGTGCATTGAGTGTAGTGGCATTCATCGTTCTCTGGGAACTCATATCTCCAAAATCCGTTCCCTCACATTGGACGTGAATTCTTTCTCAAATGACATCGTCGAGATCCTCTTGCAGGTTGGGAACCGCGTCAGTAATATGGTCTGGGAGGCGACACTAGACCAGAGTCAGAAACCGATGGCAACCTCGACTCGGGAACAACGACTGAAATTCATCACTGCCAAGTATAGCGATCGAGCGTTCGTACAGCCGCTGCCCTCGCCTTTGTCACGGTTCTCGACCCCTGATGAAACCTTACTTGCGGCAATCAAAAAGAATGACATCCAAGGCGTGCTATATGGCATTGCACTTCGAGCCGATGTTAACATCACTGACCGGTCACGAAACACCCATGCGGTCTTCCTCGCTCTAGCGGCTGCAGACCCCGCGTCGCCCGGGTCGACGCCGTCTAACCTGCCGCCTAGACCCGGTACTGCAAACGCAGTCAAGGCGATTCCGTTCCCGATAGCAGAATTGCTTGTGCAAAACGGCGCGGAAATTCCTTCACAGCCACCTCCCATTCCTCTATCACCAGCTGCTCAGCTCTATCTGAGTCAACGCACCACGAGATATGTGACGCCCATGGCGGGCAGCTCTACTGCGGACACAGTCGGATCACTGCCCAGCATTCGAGGAACAGCAAGTGATCAGGCGGTGCCATCGGGATCCCTGGACAGCAAGGAGCGTGATAGACTGCACAAGAGAGGAAGCGCTGGAGCTCGATTTGCTGGAAAAGTCGCGTCTCTCGGCATGGAACGATGACAACGGCTATTCTTTACAAACCCTTCTATTGTTCCTTGGCTGATTTTCGGCCAAGTCACACCTGTAATAGTTAATCATGTTTAATGATGCTTAAGTGCACATGATGATGTGACGTCCAGTTTGCATGGTCCTCTTTTAACGCCCTAGGATGGACGACGGTTTGCTTTCGCATACTGAATGGGGTATACCTTCTTGTTCTGCTCTGAATTTATCCTTCTACCCGGTTAGCGTATTCTACATTCCTGCTGGTCTCAAGTCAGTTGGACCGTCTAACCTTCGAATTCATATTCCTCTGGTGACTATGTAAATCATTGTTTCCCTGATATCTTCCACAGGCGTCTTGATTCCGTTTACTAAATATATACTGGGCCTCACCACGTATGAGACAAAGAGCTGTGCGCTTAACATGCCGTCTAATACATCCTGGAAGACAATTGATCTGAGATCGTCAGGTCAGTAGCTGTAGAGTTGAGACGTAACGGCCTCTATTTTGTCGTGGATGATCCATTGCCAAGCATGGGATATTTCCATTTCAGCCATTGTCAGTGAGTCATTGAGCTATTCCTGCCGCTCAGCGGTTGAGACCGGGGCTCCATGATGAGAGAGTGTCTGGAATCAGCAACGACGCCGATACTCTTTCCCATGTAAAGAATACAGGGGATTGGTTCGGACCGGGCGGACAAGAAGTCAATGGAGTGCGTCCATTCATTGAACTAAGGTTGCGTCAGTTGACACATAGCCTAGGTAGGCTGTTGCTTAAAAGGTGTTAAGGGAACAAAGGCAGCAGTGGGGCGAGGAATCGTAGCTTTGCTTGACTTGAGCGAGGGAAGGTTTCTCGGTTGAGGTTCGGACGGAATTTTCTTTCGTCCGTCCATCAGATCGGCGGCGGTACACAGTACCACCCATGCGAGATTCTTTTTCCTAATGTAATTTTTTGCCACATAATCCAGGAAAGGAAGTTCAATCGCCTCCGTCGCAGCAGGTGGCGCGCGATGAGACCAGAGTGGCTTTACTCTGGTCGAGGCGATGGAATCAAAAAAGAATCCATATCCAATGCTTTTTGTATGCGGCTTGCTCTGTGCTCTAAAGGGATATGATTCCCCAGTCGCTGATTGGTTGTGTATGAGCAGGGAAGAACCAAACTTTGGATTTGAATCCGAAAGCCACAGTTGTCCTACTTGGAAGAAAGCATGCGATACCTAAAGCCGCAATGGCTCGGTGCGGAGTCTTGCGCGGCCCGGGTATGTACTCCTGAAGACAGGCTGACAATGGCATCTCAGCCCAGCCAATAGTACTGGTTGATCGACCCGAGGGATGATAGCGCGGATGGTAAGGTAGATGGGAATGTCGATGGAGATGAAGGCCGTTGAGAGAAGAATTCGTAGTTGCGGGCCAGCCGATGACGTCATTGGCTGCAATGGCGCGACAATACTGCCCAGTAGAAATTGGGCGATGAGAAGAATCACAAAAACAGTACTGCGGGCCACCAAGTCTAGGGTAGGAAAGGCAGTAAGGAAACTGTTGATCTTCGTGTGATCAGCTGAGATGACAATCCTCATTCTGTGTAGAGAGTGTGAAGCAGCCCCAGGTGGCGAGAGTGATCAATCCACTATGCACCCACTGGGTTTGCCGGCAGCATTTGTGAACTGTGTTCCAGTCTCCACATTCATTGTTGATAGTGCATCACTTTTAACAGCAGCAGCGATGGGAGAAATTCATATACATAAGTATAGCAAGATACTATCTATAGGGAGCTTCGAATGATAGGGCAGGTTAGGTAGCTCTTGCTGCTGCAAGGGCGGCAGGCAAATCATATCAGTCGACACTTAAGGTTATCGACATATGTAAGTATAGTCAGTGGTAGTAGTTAGTAGGCATTCTTTCATTGATATACTACCCTTCAGGCACCTAATCTGGAGAAACCAAGACATTGTCATGACACATGGCATGATAACAACCACAACTGATTCGTTTTTAACTTTTGCTTCTACACAGACCATCAATTCTTCTGTGCCATTCCCAGGCAGTTTCTGGTAGAGTAGCATTGATAGGCATTCATCTACAAAGGCGGGGCTGATCCCATGCTTTAGCTGTTCCATTAGTACTTGTATGTTCAATATGTGGATAGCGGTGTAGGGAGTTTCTCGAAGCAAACATTTTCAAGATTAATATGGTGAAAGCTTGGCAGCTCGAAAGCTCGACAGCCGCTGGCCATCAGATCTGAGAACAATACCTCTCGAAAAGTCGTAAGGATGCATGCAGAGTAGGTGGATGATTCTGAACAAAACCCAGAGGGGGGGGGGCTCTGTTCTAATAACACTGTGCTTACTGCCAGTCTGCCTGAAAATAAACAGAAATAATCTTTAGACGCTAGGTTATTTGGGTACGAAGGGCATTTCCAGAAAGGGATGAGATGAGGTTTGATTTACGCCCGAATGATTGGCCGGCATCTCATCCCGATGGAGATCCTGAAGGTGGAGCCCCTGTACTCCGTATGTGCCGCCCTTACTTTTTTCGCTTTTCTTTCTTCCATTTTTCCTTTCAATCCCGAGATATGTCGCATGGGCTGGAGAATATTATTAGCTAGCCCCATGTCGATTTGGCCCAATGCATGAAAAGGGGGCATGCTTGAAGAGTCAACCGAGGCCGAAAGTACAGAGGATGTAGTAACAGAAAAGTACCGTAAGTTAATTCCGATAATTAACTACCTGGCTAGCCTCTCAATCAGGTGGAGCGAAGGATAAGATTAGGTGTGCGGTTCCTTACTTCCCTCGGCTCGTGAGCTTAAAGCTACGCACCTAGAACCCAGGAGGCCTTGGCCATCGAGAGTCGAGACAGCCGTCCATGAAGGCCAGCCTAATAATGGAATAATTCTCATGTTGATTTTACGCCCACATTGATGGAAATACCTCCTGAAGTCTCTGCAGAACATCTGGACCAAGGAATTTCTGGTACAGTAAACAGTAGGTTAGGTATGAACCAACACCTGCTATCTAGGCGGTGAGCACACTCGGCGATGCTTCTATCTATCTACGGAGGCACCTTCTTGTTCTGAACCATCAAGAATGATTTATTATTCTGCTTGATTCGACTGTACTACCGCCATGCGTATGATTTCAATGATGATTACTATGATAAGTGATTGTGCATACAGATTTTGACAAGTAGTGGTAGTAATGCGCCTCAGCGCCCCATCTCCATTGACAGATCCCGAACAATATGTCAACTTCTTTTTCCCTTTTCATCCTGTTCTTTTCTTTTTCCCTTCTCCTGGCCGTTTTTTTTTGGGGATCGGGCCCTAGTGGGAATGCAGCCAAATTCTGCCTAGATTCCCAGGACCCAGCCCCACCCCCATCACAACCAACCTCCAATAATCAATCCAGGAAACCAGTCCATCCAAAGCTACACTTGTCTCACTATGGAAGGAGCCTCTCTTGTACCAGATCCTATTTTTCTGCTCATTTCCCCTGTAATTTCGGGGGAAGGAAAATGAACAGCAAAAAAAGGAGAGAGCGAGAGGGAGGGAGATTCCTTCTGAAATGACTATTTAAATTCACAAACTGATGTATGAATGGCAAGGTACATGATTTACGAACAATATTTCAGATGAAAAGAGGAAAATGGAGATTGACGGAAATTATAATTCCTGAGCATGAACCGGAGCATCATCCATCCCCCATCAAATCAGCGGCCAGATGGCAACGGCCGATTCTGGAATACTAAAGTACCTACCTAAAAAGCCCTTTGATACAAAATCAAATACATCATCAACTTAAATAGGTAGACTGTGCTACATCTCATCACACTGCATGCTGATAGGTTACACTGTTAGCGTTGTTAGGTAGGTATGACTTACCTGTGCCTTAAAGCCCAGACAATAAGTTTGTCGAATCCAGCTATCTCTCTATTTTGTGTCCATGTGCCCATGCCACCATGGGTCCTCTTTCCATTTGTGGCTTGTTGTCATCAGCAAATCTGCTACTTCCATGCTTACCTCTCATGACGATAGCTAACCACTGAAACGTCCTCCGGGCAGTCGATCCCTGGATGCCACTTCCAGTGTGGCTAAAGATCAACTATCATGTGGGCTAGCAAAGTGAAGAAGAATGATAAATAACGCGTCCTTTGTACTACTACCTCTACTGCGCATCTAGTACTGGACAACCAGGCTTGGTCCACGGGCCCCTTTCAATAATACTACAAAATAGAGGACAGAGTAGTAGTACAAGGACATCATCCTGCACACATACATGTTGGACCTGCCGCTGTCATGTTATTGCTTAACATAAAATAGATGGTGACTACTCCATTCGCCGGGCAGGGATTACCCATCTTTAGTCTGACTATCATAGCTCTTGAGGATTGCCACATTGCCACAATCCTCAGAAGTGTACTTCTCTATAACTTCCTCAATGAAGAGTACCGAACCCGTCATACCACATTCCGGACAATCAGGCTATCAACTCTAAAAAATACCCACAGAAAAAGAAAGAAATAAAATAATAATAAATCAGAGAAAGAAAAACTGAAAAGCAATCGGTTAAAGGAAAGATGAAAAATATGAGAGAAAAAAGAAAAAGAAAAGAAAAAAAAAAAATTTCTTAGGAACCCACCGGGTCAGGAACAACCTGGCGGTACCCAATCATCGACGCTTGAGACAAGCCATTCCTATCATCTTTGCGTCCTTGGTCTCATTGAAGCTCGGACGCCTTCCTTCCCTACCTGCCTGCTTACTTGACTAAATATTGGAGAAAAAAAAAAGTACTAAGCCCACGGACATTTTAAGATATCCGACCAGACAGAAACGAGCATGATAGACGCTGATTCTGCCACCGTTCCGTTGTGGCTTGGGTGGTATCCACGATCCAAGTACCTCGATGGAACCCCGGGCCTTTCACGAACTGCCCAACTATTATTGTCACTACTACCTGTTCTGTGCTGAATGACGATCCTCTTCTGCTGTGGCTTCGATGCCTGTCTGTTTCAATCAGGCACCAGTTCTCATGGGCGTTTCATTGTCCTTTTAGACCTTCCTGATCTTGTGTCTCTCGACTGAAGGATCGTACAATCCCATCTAGTCCATCGGACAGATCTGATGCTGTATACAGTATCGTCGCTCTATCCAATAGGCGCTCGAACCGTTCAGGGGGGTTGCTTGTGATGCTGTTGAAGCCTCAGATGCAGCTCTTTGTTTCAGACGGATCGGTCAATCGAGCCAAGTGACAGACTATTTTTTTAGGAGTTTCGAGGAATAAGGCAGGAAGCAGAAGCCAGCCAAAGAGGCAAATCATTCGCCGTGGTGAGGACAATCTAAAATCAGCTCGGTGCCTTTTTCCGGTTGCTACTATCTGCTGCTCAAAGCCTCAATGAATTTCCGATACCATCATCATTGATGCGCCACATTTGACAGTCAGACAAACAAACCGACACGATCGAAGTCAAGCCCCCTCTCCCCCTCGCCGATACTATATCACTATCTAAAAGAACACGTCCCCGGTGTGCCCCATTGATCATTCTCAATTTCCGCCCCGGTAGCCTTACCGACTCCCCACATCGTTGCGGTCTTTTTTCCCCTCCCCTTTGGCATTGTTTGCTTATTGAGGCTCACTTGCACTACTCCTGTTAGAGTTCTGACGGTAGTCAGAGATCATCTCGGACATTTCTAGGGGTGCCGACCCTGGAGGGTCATCTTCTTTCCATACCCCTTCAGTCCTAGTTGATTTACGTTTTTGCAAAGCTCAAGGAAAACCAAACGGCCACACACTACTACCCGAAATAGCATTTGCTCGTCCCGTACCGACAATTTTTGGGTGTATCTAAGAGTCTGATAACCTCCAGGACTCTTATCATATTGGAAGACTCCGCACCTACAGCCCAAGAACCACTCTGTTGGCTGTAATTGATGATCTGAAGAAACCCTGGGTTGCGTTTCAGAAGAGGTATGTACGTATCATACATTTGGTATCCTTTTGTCCCCTTCGAACTGTTTACTCTGCCATTCCCGACATTATTTATTCCAACCTTCAAGATGCTCTCGTTGGAAATAGTCATACCTATGGGACTGCAAGGCCCGGATTCAAAGGCTGATGCTCTTTCCATTCCGACTCCTCCTTAGTTTTATTCATTGTTCTCTTTTGGAGTTCTTCCCTCACAAAGACACCTACAAATCTGGACTTCCAACAGGGGCTCTTCCTAGAGTGAAGGGTGATACAGTCCACCCAGTGGTACTGCTACCCTTTTGACCTGGTATGCATGCAATTGAACTATCCCCCTTGACAAGTTGATTACCATTGTGGATAGATACTTTTGCCATGCTGTGGTTGTTGCCTCTTACCATGTTCCACTGTTTGGTTTTCCCTTGTTTTTTATTTTTTTTTATTATTTCGCACCAAGACTCCCCCCCCTTCCTATTGTGATTATTTTCCCTCCACAACCCCCCTTAACCATTTTCTGCCAAGGTGATGCACACACACCCTGCACACTAAGCCTTTGCCTCTTCTGCTTATGCCCTATTTCTAGCCCATGACCACATCTCTATCTTCCAGAAGAGCAGGCTATCTATCAGCGGATATATAGATGCTGGCTTAAGGCATTTCTTCTCTGTCATCAATTCCTCCATATTAGATCATGGCCAGTTTATGGCTTGTGAGCTCCTTCCTCCCAATTCCCAGTTCCCCACTGTCAGCCGCCACTATATATGCCTTCACTGTCACATTTCCATTCCCCACCTATGGTTAGAACATCCCAGCCCTTCGGTGTGTGCGTGTGGTTATTCTATAGCTGTGTGCGCATGTGTGCATTTTTCTGTGTGTGCGTGCGTGCAAGCGTGTATGTTCTGTAGTTCCGTGCACTCAAGCCCCTCTTGTTATTCGGATATCTGGAGTGTTTGGCTGAATATTACACTGGGCGTCAGATTGGGCTCCCTTTTCCCTGTGGATAGTTCCCTCCTCACTGCTTGCCCTGTCCTTGACACTCCCATCTTGCACTTACAATTGGTCATGGTCCTTGGTATCATCTCCGGGCATTTCTCCATCTTCCTATGTGTGTTGCTTCTGTCTATTTTTCTGCTATTTGGCCTATCTGGGGCCTCAACCTGTCATTTACGGCCGATGATCTTGGGTTCTAACCAGCAGTGGGCAAATCCTCTAGTTGTTATAGTCGGCGTTGAACTGTTACCAGAATAGATAGCAGTGTGAAATACATCTTGAAAGAAAAGAAAGGTATGTTGACTTCTGCTACGGTCCTCCAATTTCGAAATTTCCCGGAAAAGTCTGCTACAGTAATTCCCCGTGAGCAGGATCTTGTTTATCACGATTCTGACTTCTTTGCTCTGCGCTCAGTTGCAGTCCCGATGGACAATGTTCCTTCAAAACAATCCAACCAATCTGGAGGAGCATCAAACGGCAGACATATCTCCTCAGAGGAGCGACTCGGCCACTCAAGGGCTCAGCAGTCACTGTCCGGTAAGACTTCCTTTCTTTTCTCTCTCCTCTAAGCGAAACCGAAGCGAAAATGGTTCAGGGAGAAGAGCTATGTTGTTGGTTGGCAGAGTCGATCCGATTGAGCTTCTGTTCTGTTACTTTTCTTATGTTGCGCTGACGAGACACCTTGCACTTTTCTGGTAGATACAGGCACTTTTCGCCAGAATCCCCCGCGATCTGAGAATGTTGACAAGCACCCGGAATCGCATGGCCGTGGAGCGCCTCCGTCGGCCATGAACATGGGCGATATGAGGTCCACGCTACCGGGCTACAATCAGCCTCCTATGCAATCACCTTACGTCCCTGCTGCGATTCACCCGCATGGCGTTTTATATCCTTTGCAACCATTACCCTCGTTTGCCGACACCACATCGGGCAGGACTGTCTCTTATAATGCTCACTATTCCCAAATGTACATACCTTTCGCTCAGCAGCCGCAGCACCAACAACAGCAGCCTCAACATCATCATCAGAGTACTTCTCTCCAGCCTGGCATTCCCGATTATCAGCTGTTCGTGCCAAACATGACCGCACCCTCCAACATCCCTTTTTCGAACCAGACCATTGTTTTTGGATTTGGTTATTATCCTCAACACGTCTATACAGCGGCGGTTGGACACGCTCAAGGTCCACCGGGCCCCTCGATTTACTTGCCTCCTAGTAGTCCATATCACAGCACATCAGGGCTACCTCCTCAAGTGCCCTCTACGTTGCCAAGAGAAGGCCGGCAAAAGTCGCCCACAGCGAATTATGATGTTTCCAAAACCATCGTTGACGGCTCAACACCAATGAGACCGACAACCACCCAGAATACCTCAACAGGTAAGCAAGCAACGGCCGTCATGGAGCAATGGGAGGTATGCGCATCTCGTTTACCATTCCGCTGATTCAATGCACAGACTCCTCTCTACCACCAAGCACGTCAGGGTCCCCTACGCCTTGGGGACCCCCTCGGAAGCCCAAACAGTCCGGCCATGCTCTTTGGGTCGGGAATCTCCCTGCTGGGACAAGCGTCGTGGATCTCAAGGATCACTTCTCTCAAGACGCTACGAAGGACATCCAAAGTGTATTTCTCATATCGAAGAGCAATTGCGCCTTTGTCAATTACAAAACAGAATCTGCCTGCGTCGCAGCCCTGTCTCGATTTCATGACGCCAGGTTTCACGGGGTGAGGCTCGTTTGTCGCCTTCGGCGAGGGTTGGCCTCGCCTGGGAAGACTCCCAATGTCGGCTTCTCAACCAGCTCGCCTGGGAACGAACACAGTGGCTCAAAGCTGTTAGACACCAACCCAGACATTGAAGAAAATTTGGAGACGCGTCCTGTCCATGGCAGGCACGCAAATCTAAGGCTACCTAACAGATACTTCATAGTCAAAAGTCTCACGGTCGGCGACTTGGAATTAAGTAGACAAAGCGGAATTTGGGCAACCCAAAGCCATAACGAGGATAATCTCAATCGGGCTTATGAAGTGAGTTGTTTCCCCCCCCCCCCCCCCCAACAACAACTTTCTCACTTCTTCCTGGCTGGGAAGCGATGCGAGAGTGGCCTGCGCTGACTGCTACATTTTAGAGTGCCTGTAATGTTTATTTAATTTTCTCCGCCAACAAGTCCGGGGAGTACTATGGATATGCTCGCATGATGTCGCCTATCAAGGAAGATGAAACCCTAGCCCTGGAGATGCCCGTGCGACCTGACCATGGTCCTCCTGAGCCAGAGGAATTGCACGTGATTCCAACTCAGGCTACAGCCACAGCGCCAACCGGACGAATCATAGATGACTCTGCTCGGGGAACTATATTCTGGGAAGCGGATTCATCCGGGGAGGATGAGGATGAAGATGATGATCATGATCTTGATAGTGATGATGGTGGTGGTGGTGACGATGACAGTAGCGAGAAAAAGGAGGAAGGCAAGGGGGATGAGAGTAGTGATGAGGACGAGACTGGGGGTGGGAACGAAAAGAACGCTGCTGAATTAGTCGAAGAAGCTGCCGAGTCGGGATTCCAATCGATAGGAAGGCCGTTCCGGGTCCAATGGCTTTCAACAGAACGGGTCCCATTCCATCGCACTCGAGGTCTTCGCAATCCGTGGAATGCAAATCGCGAAGTCAAGATTGCCCGTGATGGCACTGAAATCGAGCCGAGTGTCGGGGAGAGGTTGATTCGGTTATTCAACACGCAACACCCAACCCATCGGTTTCCGGTATATCACACTGCGCTACCCAACTGAACACGGCGAGTGTTCGCAACCACTTTCCAGTCTCTTGAGGAAGTTGGTGTCACAATACAGGCTCGCTGTTTGCATACAAGATCAGGATCAAGATGCATGACTGCGAGCTCCTGCTTGTGGACCAATAGGACTGGCGTACCGAGTACGACGCACACGAATTAAAACTAGAACACGATGAATGAAATAGAAATAACTAGCATGTATATATTATAAAAACGAGTTCTCCACTTTTGTATGCTTACTTGTTCGACCAACAGGTTGTATCAAAAGAATGTCGTATGTTTTCTAGGGTACCTACCTCAAGTTATGTAGTTATCATTGTAGGGAGCAACCCGACACTCCTTAGGAATAAACTCAGTAAGTCGAGAGGTACATCGGTAGATAAATGCTGTACAGTGTGCACTGGCGACGATGGAGTAGGAATTGTCTTGGGTAAGAGAGGTTTCTGCCTCAGTCTATGTAGGTAGGTAGTTTAGTGGCAGCTATGTACTAGACTAGCTACATAGTAGATACATCAATCATCATCCAGGATAGCTCAAGCTGTGGTTCGAAAGTCAATCCTGCAGCAACTCGGTTGGTACTAGTTAACTCTCTCTCTGGGTATGTAAGCTTTAGACCTTGATGATGATTGATTGATTAGGCGAACCCTCGTGACTATCTTACTTATGGAGGTAAGTCTTGTGTTACCTACCTGGAACTTAACACGTGAACGCTAGCCCCAAAAAGACGAAGCTTTTTAGGCTAATCCAGAAGTAGTAGTGCTAGGGTGGATCCATGATTCTCCTCTCGTGAGGATGATGTTGAGGCATGCTTGAAGATCTTCATACCAGAAAGTGATGACATATCGAATCATCCCTTCATTGAGCCAAAGGTGGTATTAGTTATATGCTCTATATGGGGCCATCGCTTAGGACACCATCTGATGATGCTCATTCTTGTAAATAAAACCAATTTTCTCGATCAACAGCTACCTTAGAGAGGCAGTTACTTACTCCGTACGCAGTAGTTACCCTGGATTGCTTCCTCTGCTATTTCAACGCCCTAGTCCTTTTTCGGTCTAGTCGGACGGTCCCCGGATTCTCTTTGCTGTGGATATCTAATCCACCTGTTCAGTTGGCTAGACCAAATCCGTCCCACGGTCAGAGCCCATGGAGAAGGAGGAGCAGCATGACGATCATGATGATGATGACGATAGTTAATGATATGGGATAATGATTAATCAATAGGAAAGACTTAACTAGTTATGTGTGTCTGTCGTAGCCTTTATCGTCATGGATATTAAATCATCGTCATCCATGGATCTTCGCACCCTAATGTAATTGATCAGCTTAGGCGAATTATTACCCTTTACGCTTACTGGATATGATTGGGAAGAATGGGAAGTGGATTTGTGTGGGGTAAAAAGCAAAGATAACTCGTAAGGTAGGTAAGGTAAGCTCTTCCTAGCTCCTGCTATCATCGTCAAGAATTCTATTAATTTATAGCACACTCATTACTTTCATTTTCTTCTCTCCCTCTCTACCTTTGCAAAATCCGCATCTTCAACAGCAGAGAAACAACAGCATCCATCGTCATTCACAGCCAGTGTTTCCATCCTTGTCAGTCATCTTCCTTCATTTGTCGTCTTGACAGTGTCCCTGTATGTCAGTCCCTCCTCGTCGTTCTCCAACTGGCTTCTTCGCTGTTACTTGGTTGAACTCACCCCGCAAACCAATTTCCTGTCCCTCCTGCCCTACTCTCTTGCTCTTCTCCGTCTACGCAGCTTCTTGATTCCACATATTCTGTCATACATTCCGCACTTTCTCTTGCCACCTTAGCTTCCTGTCTCCTTCTTGTACCCCAAGCTGTACAGGAAGGATCGAGAGGGACCGTCTGCTACCCCTTGGGCTACTTTTGCATGTCTATTATGCTGTTTGCCGCTCTCAGACATCTTTGATTATCGTACCACTGCTAATATGGCCTGATCTCTCACATTCACCCGCTGATCCATACAACTCGGGAGCATCCTACTAATTTCCTTTTCTTAGAATCTGCCGAACCCCCCTTCTTCTTTTATTGCACTATCGACCTCTCCTCCTCGTGTCTTGTCTCAATCGATCTATCCCTCTCCCTTCGCTGCTGGTTGTCTGTGGTTGACGTCACATACTTGTGGCGGTGAAACATCCAGATCATCATTCATTCGACGACTGGCGATAACGTTCCTCAACTTCCATTTTTTATATTTCTGCCCTTTCTTCCCCGCAACAGCAACGGCGGTCTAGCGGTTCGCGTTCTCAGCCTACTCACGCTTGATTGATACAACCTCATAGCCATCTCATTGGACCATTTACTCAGAAAGTATCATTTTGTACCAACCTGATCTCTGTGCATTTGTCAGTGCATCCTTGCTTTTTTCTATTACGAATCCTCTTTCAGTGATCTACCATGTCAAACGATCGGTCTACATCTCCAATATCTGTACCATCCTCATCTGCCCGCCAACGGCGGCCGTCCCTATCCTCGGGCTTCTTCACCGATTATCTCTCCAGGTCGAGTAACCCAGGGGCTCCGCCTGGCGGCCACACTAGTCCCATGGCTAGTACTGTAAACAATGTCCAGCCGAATCAACGACGCAGGCTGTCAATCAGTACACTTGGGCTTTCCGGTTCACCGACCCAAACCGCACCCTTTGGGGTCAGAAATCCTCGGCATGGCAGCTTGTCCAGTTCCGTCGGGTCAAGTCCAAACGCCGACGAGGCCGCCATGGATGATACAGACAACTGCTCTTCCAGCGTTCCTCCCAGCTCGCCGTTTGCACGACGTCTCTCCTTTGGTGCGCAGGCCATGCGAGATGTTCGTGGTGGGAGTGTAGGCAATGGTAGATATCCCTCTCCTGGGTCTTCTGGGGCTGGAGGGCGCCGGAGCACGACGACCACCAGTCCTGCATCTGCCAATACCCCCCATGCATTAGCTGTTGCAAGTACAAATAAAAGCTTTCCTCAGAAAGATATGTCTAACAAATCGTGGCGACCCTTAGGCGAAGGCTTCAACTGGTCGGAAGCTCTCCGAACACGGGCTGAGCGCGCCCCATCCATTGGAGGCATCTCCCCAATCGCGGGTCAGAGCCAACAACATGTGGCCTCTGCGGAACACCAACGCTATCATCAGCGAGCTGCTTCCATTGCTTCAATGGAGCAACCTGCTCGAGAGATACCAAGACAACCAAAGCAGAACAAGCCTGATTTCTTCCAAGAGAAGATTCTCCGAGGCGATTTTATGGATTAGGCTTAGTCTTTCCTTGTACTTGCTCCCCTTTCCCTTCTCCTAGTGGACAAATACAATCGGCACAATGCTGCCATGACGTATGTGTTCCTATTGTTCGAAAAGAACTATCTGTCACCCTTCAGAACGAGAGTGCAGCAAACTTGCATCTCTCTGTCTGGACCGTCAATGAGGAGTCAACATGGAAGCATGTTAATAAAATGACTTTTCTCATTTGGCCATTTTTTCTACGATTACATACTGCACACCATACATCCCAAAGGACCTGATCAATTTTGGGAGCTATCAAGTATACCTTGTATACTCCAGGTGGTCTGATTTGAGCATTATACTCCTCTTTGTCCTGTCTCACTTTTTCCTTCTGCCATCGATTCACATGATGCCATATTCTACTTTTCACTTCCCAGTTTTCTGCAGGCATGAAACGAATGCTCTTTGATGAATGTTTTGTTCGTTTGCTTTTACCCTTGTATTGGTGTGAGATTCCAGTTATTCGGAGACTGCTGGCAGACCGATTGAGTGCTGTTGAGATGATCTGATGCTACTTTGTTCTACTTTCTTTTCTGAATGAGTATTGACACCGATTTTCGGCCCGCAAAGAGCTAGGAGATTGTTGAAGTACCTTTCCTGTCTCACCTTTTCGGCGTTTTTCAAGCTCCGTCTGCCTTGAATCCATATTTATCCTTTCCTTTCACTATTGAACGAGAAAATATTACAATCGATTTGGAGATAATCTTGCGAAGATCTTGGATTATAGCCAGCCCATGGTCAGTCGCTATCAAGGTACCTCGCTATCAAGGAACAGCGAGGAACGGTTGTCTCGTGAGATTAATTTTGTGAAGTACTTTGAAATTTCGGCTCTTGAGGGATAAGCCGTCTTTCATGACTCGACAGATCGATTTCTGATTAGTCACTGTAACTGGCAAAGGTATTTATGTCAGGTTGTCGGATACTGACCAAAAGATAAGAAGAAGTCGCTTCCCCATTTTGAGGAAGTGCACTTTTGACACTGATCGACGCAGCCTAGAGAGCAAACCTGTGGTTATGTGAGGAAAGGATTCGCTATATAAGGCACTGCTTGTATTATAGGACTCGTTTAGGCTAGATCATGCTCAGGCTGACGATGGGCCAATACCACCATCATCGATATGCTGGTGGTGAGCCCAGTCACTATCAGCGTCTTGTTTGCCCGAGCTTTCGGCCCGGTCAATCCCCACTGCTGTCCTCCGGTCCAGAGCTTGCGCCGTAGTAATCCGGTGCTCTGGGGGTGGAGGTACCCATTTGCTGCTTTTCCATGCCGGGACATGCATAACGTACATCATGTCCATCTCCTCGAGAGTTTTGCCCTTGCCTTCCAACACGCAGAAGTAGACGATCACGACCCCAGCAAATAGGCATCCGGCGAAAACATAACCGTACGCGAAGTCAATATCGCCGGTAATAAACGGAGTGAAGAAGCCAATGAGGAAGTTCCAAAGCCAGTTCGAAGCTGTGGCCAATGCCATGGCCTTCGCGCGGTATCGCGATGGATAAAGCTCAGCGACTATCGCCCACACCATAGGGCCCCATGTCATGGCGAACCCACTTGTCGCATTCAAATTCGATATCAGTATCAGCCTCCTGGTTCAAACAAGGTATCACGAAACGTCTGAGGGGGAGACTGGAAGATTCTCACGTGATAAACAAACATGCGAACACCACCATTGCTTTTCCAGCACCAGGTGTCTGAGGAGGGTCATGGACATTTAAGGAGAAATGTCCGACAGAGGCGAAGACCATAAAACATACGAACATCCAAATGCCCCCAGTGATGAGTGACTTGCGGCGCCCGAAGTGCTCGATGACATACAGACCTCCGAATGTCGTGCCGAAATTGACACCGCCAAGGATCATCTGCGTGACATAGGTGTTTCTGATACCGGCTCCATTGAACACAACAGTGCCGTAGTAGAAGAAGTAATTAGCACCGGTCAGCTGCTGTAAGGCTTGTAGCACGATACCGAGGAAGATCCGGTACGGCATACGAGGTCCTTGAAACATCTCGACCCAGCCATGCCATCCCCCTTTAGACGCACTCTCCGCCTCGAGCTGATCCTCGATTTCGCTGAGCTCCTCCAAAATCACACGATGATTTTGGGGCACCCCGTAGAGCTTTGACATGGTACTTTTCGCTTGGTCGATGCGTCCACGACGATAATCATAGCGCGGACTTTCCGGGAAAAACACGATTCCTATCCCTAGTATTGAGCCCCAGAGGAATGTGATCCCAAGAGTGATACGCCACGAGCCGGAGTTGGCCATTGATTCGGTGCCGAAATTGATGCAGTATGCCACAAAGATCCCCATTGTCACAAATAATTGATATGAGCTGCGGAACGCGACGTCAGACGCTCCGAGTGCATAACCAGGCTGAAGAACAGCGAGATTCCTACCAAATCATTGCCCCGCGGACCTGTCGAGGAGCACTCTCGCCTTGGTACATCGGGACCAACAAAGAACATGCCCCAACACCGAAACCGGTGACAAAACGTCCCATCATTAATTGGTACCATTTCGGCGCCGGAGAAGATATCTGTATGATCAGACCGACTTGGAGAATGACGCACCAGAACGCAATAGACCATTTACGGCCGACTCGATCTGCCAGTGGCCCGGCCAGTAGAGCTCCTAGCAGAGTGCCAATGGACAGCTATCGACATGCTTGTCGTCAGAAATTCTTTGCACTCGCACATGGCTAGACTTATCCAAAAACGGCTGATCGGTACGCACCAGAGAAACGATGAGGCCGGACCGCACGTTGCTGAAGGTGTATCTTCCGTCGTCTCCCAACTGACCAAATCTGCGCTTAAAATCATTCATCTCGAGGAATCCTGAAATCTGGCCGGTGTCATAGCCAAATATGATGCCGCCAACAGACACAAATGCGCCAAGTAACAATGAACGCCATGTGAGGAAAGGAACATGGCTATCGGCCACATCAAGTTTTTCCTTCCCGGAGTCCATCGGGCCCGATAACAGATTAGATTGAGATGAGATGTCGGGAACGCGCAGTGGGAGCTTATGCGGTGTGATTCTCACCGCTATATATGAAAGAAAGAGTAGTAGACGATTCAAGAATATGGTTGTGGACAGCGGCCAATGGTTTCAACCACGATACCCCTTTGGCCAGCTGAGGACTTCTTCCAATATATACAGAAAGAGGCTGCCGTACCCGATGTAGAAGACCGGCTGAGATCATCTAGAGCAAAACCATAGCATAAAGGAGTGGGCCTAATCAGAGTAAAGATAGATGTCGTTGGCCATCCAAGGCACGTAACTTGCCACCTGGGGATCCCACGGCAAGGGTCAATGACAGCATGACTGGCCAGGACATTGAAGGGATTCTTTCCCTTTCGAGAAGCTTGTATATATTGTTTAGTCCCCTGTCTATTTTTTGCTCTCCTAGCTATTCCTCACTTAGAGTCTAGGAATGGGCGATGAGCAGCACAGCATCTAATGCCATCGCATCCTTCTGACGCCGCCCTCAGATTCTAGATGCAGAACGTCGCTAGAGTCAGAGGGCATCGGTGCTCTTGTGACGTCAACTCAAAAGGTCGATAATATGGACTTGCAATGAAGCCGGGTTCCAAACGGAAAGGTACACCGAGTACGTCTGGAACGCAAGTATGTGTAGAGAGGTGGCTCGGCGCAGGTCCAGTGTACGGAGTAGCTTTACCAGTTCCGGACCTGTCTAGGCCTTTGTATCCATTAGAATTTATATTCAAACATTACTAGGTATTTGCGTAGTTAGGCAAGATGGCCGAGTTGGTCCAAGGCGTGAGGTTAAGGTCTACCTTAATATCAACTTTCTAAGTTCCTCATCATCGTATGATGGCGTGGGTTCGAATCCCACTCTTGTCATTTCTTTTTATGGTGTCTTATTGTTCACATCAGTACGTCACGTACATTAATATACAGATCTATATACACTCTGTTCCAAGTGAAGACACACAATAATTTCAAAAAATCTCAAATATAACAAAGGGTGGCGTTCGACCACGTCATTCATACAATGAATGATGAGGAAGGACTTAGAAAAATTGATATTGAGGTGGAGACTAAGCTCATCACCTATTGGACCAACTCGGCCATCTTGCCCCTGGGATGCCAATTGTCACTTCAGCCAAAATGCACTCCAGCAAGTAGATGTCACTTGAACATTGCAACCCAACTGAGTCCAGAACAGACTCCGTTCGCATCTGCCGAGAGAAGGCACTGGCAGGAAGGCTTCACTAGCGACAACGGTGTTATAAACATAATTCGAATGACAGATTTCGTTCGCTGCCGAGGACAGTCCCCCTGAGATACATAATCAAACGGTATGTAACTGCGAAACAGAAAGTCTGATCAGTAAGGTATTCCGTTTGTCAACAACTGAAACTGATCATATCCCTTTGTCGAAACGCTCATGTAGGACTTGCGGATGAGTTCCCGCATGTACTCGGCTGCCTCCCTCTCATTCTTCTCTAGCACAAACCTGTCACGGAAGTTCTTGAGCGTATCAGGTTTGAAGCACGGCAGGCCGCTATCAAGCATCAACGACACAATATGAGAGAGCTTGGTGCAAAAGGGACGGGACGCGAGGAATGCCTTTATTACCAAGGATTCGAACCACCGGTAGGGCTGTGTAGAAGTTGGGTTGTTGGAGTGCCCTCCAGGCAAGCCGAGCCCGCCATTCGAGCCACCATGTGAATGGACATGTGGATGTGAAGTACCACTCATGACAGCCACCATCTCGGATGTGAGCTTGAAAGGTGCGCGCTCAAAACGTACACCACCAGGAGCAATGTCAAAGCAGAAGCCAAAGTCAATGTGTATGATATGGCCAGCATCATCGATCATAATGTTACCGTTATGCCGATCTTTGAACTGCAAAAGGTAAGAGATGACTGAATAGGCAGCCATGCTCTTCACAAAATTCGTTCGCGCTTCCTGGAAACGCATGGAATGCTCCCCTCCGTACTTGGAAATGAAGTAGTCGTAAAGACCATTTACTGCTTCGCGACCTAGCATATCACGAGAGATGGAGTTGGGAAGAACGTCAATTACTCCGCAGCCAGGGGCCGTTGAAGTCACTCTGTAGGGAAATACCCAAACGTCAAGCCCTGCACTAGCAAAGATACTGCGAAAAGCCGCGATCATCTGCAAAGCCAGCATGTCCTGGCGACAGTCATCACCAACCTTGAAGATAGCCGACTGCCAAACTTCGTACGTCTCTTGGGATGAAGGAGAATGCAGAGGCGCCGACAACGTCTTCGCCGAGGCATCATGGCCGGCGGTACTCGGGCGGGATTGGCCCTGGGAATCTCGTTCGTCCCCACGGGTCCTTGTTTTTTGAATCCGAAATGTTGCCATGTATGGAGCCTTTGCATGGCTCTGTAGTGGTTTACCGGATTTTCGGTCGATCCCAACGACGACTCCATCCGGATTGCTCGGGAGATATACACCAATCTCGACCTTGATTTTTCGAAGTTCCTCCTCGATCTTCGCCTTCTTCTCGGGTTTACTTTTCTTGATATATGGCCGAAGCTTTCCTGATATACCCGTGATGTCGTTGAAGAAAGAAAACTCCCTTTCATAAAAATCACGCTCCTCGTCGCTGAAGCTAGAAATGAGAGTGTCCATGAAACGGTCAAGAGTCGGCTTGAGCGGGTCGGGCTGTCATTGGATGTTAGTCAATTGTCCGTCCACGGGGTATCATAACGCACAATCTGGGAGTCTTCGTCCTTATAAGAGTTGGCTTTCATGTTCCAAATCACTTGATGGGCAAACAATTGCGATTGTTTCGCTGTCTCAAGGATGTAACGCTCTACATAGCCCAATGCATCGTATCGCAAAGCCTGAACGAGCTGTGGGACAAAGTAGAAACGAACGTCTATGGGGTGGCTTTCCAATGCTCTCATGGCGTATTGTAGAACAAACGGATGATTGCCATATGCTGGTAAGAAGTAAGTCAAAGCTTCCGTGGGATTGACTGCTGCCCAGTATAATAGATACTGGTAAAGTCAGCTTCCTCTCTTTTTTTGTCTTTAGTTGTTAGGTCTTTGAGGACCGAAGAGAGGACAAACGGACCTTCAGCTGAAAAGAGACATCTGAGGGCAGTGCTGCACCCAGCACGACCTCGAGACTGCTCGGCTCGTCCAAAGCCTTCTCAGGGAAATTGAGCAGTAGACAACGTATATCATTCTTCATCTTCGGGGATGAGTAGCGCGACGAGAGTTGGATTGCTAGCCCAGGACTCTCAGCCCAGGCAAGCCGCAGAAGATGGATAGCTTCCTAAGCAGGCATTAGGTCCCATGTAACATAATGCAAGGGCATGAACTGCTGCTACTAGCACATAACGAACAGGTGATAGACGAACCTCTGCAGAGTTTCTGTTTCCAGAAATCTGGAAATGCTTTCGATCCCCCTCTAAAGGAAATAGCCAGACTCTTAGACGAGATCTCTCATGTTCTATGAGCAGCTGAAGAAGATCATGCTTGACTTGCAGTGGCTTGAAGTTGCATCGTGTGTGAGAGGGCACAGCCGAAAGTCGACGTAAAGAACGGCTAACATCGTCGAGTATTTGGTCTTCGGCTTTGACCTGCAACCTATTGCCCCCAAAGGACCACCTGATTAAAGTATAGAGTAAGCACTCGTCTCCGGCATTATAATAAAAGGTAGACAAACCTCGGCGGATGCTTGAACCAATCGAGCGCAGCAGACAATATTTGATCGCTGAGCTTCCACGAAGCCACCTTTTCTGGTTGATAAGAATCTTGTATAACCCTTAAGCCAAAGAGGACAATACGGAAATGCAACTCTCTAGCCAAAGGGTGGCCACTTGTTTGCAGAAGCCCGACAGTCGTTCTATCAATAAGACGAGCAAATAGACGGCGGTTCTGGGCGCTGTTTAATCGAACGGCATTAAAATGGCTCTCAAAAAAACGAAGGGCAATAAGATGCGGCGCGAGAGTGGCCTGAGCCTTCTGTTGCTTCTTCAACAATAGAGCTTTGTCACTAGGAAGCAGCTCAATCTTCGTATACATCGGGTCAACGTAGCTGAATAGTCGCAACTCCATCAATACCCCAAATTCTAAATGTGAAGGATAGTATACTCACTCGAAAGAACGGTCGAACAAGCCCTTCCTGTGCTGAATAGTTTCCTCCCAAGCTTCTATCACTTCTGCGAGGATCCTGGGTCCAAGCTTTGGATTTTCATGTATCGCACCGAGCCACAGTGCGACACCCACGTTCATCGACTCCTCTGAGAACAGTTGAAACGGCAAAATGACCAGGTGGTGAAGAACTGAGGGCTGAAAGTAGTCTGAGCCACACAAAACAGCAGCAGCTCTTCGAAGCGTATCCCTGAATTCTGATATGACAACATTATTTCCCGCCTTGAGCTGATAGTGGAGACGGTGCAGCATATTCTTGACATGCTCGCTGGATTTCAGGAGGCTTCGTGAGATCTTCCCACAGTCTTCGCCTATATATCTCCAGGTCAATTGCAGAACTTGGCAGAACACGGCGGAGACAAACCATTGCTCTCTTCGGATCCCTGTTCCAAATATTTCGTCACGAGCGGGTCTGGGGCCCGGTACTGCTGGCGGATGGTGTATTGCGCAATAAAGTCAGAGGCAACGTTTACCCTGCTAATCCCGGAGCTCTGAATAGATCCTAGAAACCTGTTAGGACATTTTGGCGAGTGCAGAAACAAGAGCTTACCGAGTCGCTGATCGCTTCGAGGAATTGTGGAGCCCATATCGAGAGCGAATGAACGACCCAGCGAGATGTGGCTGCCGTCAACGGTGTCGTTGGAAATGGACAGGTATGTCTACCTTCTGGTCAGCAATCAATCCCAAAAGCCTTCGTAAAGGTACTCGCCTGGAGAAGGCCTTTCACATCCAGAGGTGCAATATCTATAACCGCTGCCACCCAAGCTTTAGCTCGCTCAAGGAGTGTATTCAGAGTTCTCTTCCTGG